TTAGGGTTTAGGGTTTAGGGTTTAGGGTTTAGGGTTTAGGGTTTAGGGTTTAGGGTTTAGGGTTTTGTGCTGCAGGCGCGTCTGCTGCTGAGGTTATTCGCGAAGTGGCTGCAAACAGCGCCACCTTTGAGCAGCGGACGAAATTCTCGAAGCAGAAGTACATTATGAAAAAAGCCAAAAGGCAAGCAACAGCAGCAGCAGCAGCAGCAGCAGCAGCAGCAGCAGCAGTAGCAGCAGCAGCAGCAGCAGCAACAGCAGCAGCAGCAACAGCAGCAGCGCCAGAAGCAGAAGCTGCCAGCGCCAGTAACAACAGCCACCCCGGAGCAGCAGCTGAACAAGCAACCCGTCGCCCTTAGTAGCAGCGTGAACAGCAGCAGCAGCAGCAGCAGCAGCAGCAGCAGCAGCAGCAGCAGCAGCAGCAGGTTGTGTGCGTCTGCCTGTGGCCAGGTACATAAAGCAGTACACTGTGCTGGAGGCCTCGCTGACGGAGCTCTGCCACTTTTACTTCGACACAAACCCCAGCAAGATCATGTAAGGCTGCTGCTGCTGCTGCTGCTGCTGCTGCTGCTGCTGCTGCTGTTGCTGCTGCTGCTGCCACTACTACTGCTTACGCTGCTATTGCTGCTGCTGTTGCTGCTACTGCTTCTAGCGCTGCTGCTGCTACTGCTGCCACTACTGCTGCTGCTGCCACTGCTGCCGCTGCTACTGTTCCCCCTGCTGCTGCTGCCAATTCTGCTGCTGCTCCTCCTCCTCCACCTCTGCTGCTGCTGCTGCTGCTGCTGCTGCTGCTGCAGCGGGCTGCGCCACGACTACCTGAGCTGCATGCTGCACCGCTTGTGTCTGGCCCCGGGGCAGCAGCTGCTGGCCCTCGACCACGCCCTGGGCCTCCCCACAGCGGGGGCCCTCTTGAGAGTCGGAAGTGAGGGGCCCCCCACACTGCTGCTGCTGCTGCTGCTGCTGCTGCTGCTGATCTTACTGCTGCTGCTGCTGCTGATCCTGCTGGTCGTGCTGATGCTGCAGTGCTGCTGCTGCTGGTCTTGCTGCTTCTGCTGCTGGTGCTGCTGGTCTTGCTGCTTCTGCTGCTGGTGCTGCTGGTCTTGCTGCTTCTGCTGCTGGTGCTGCTGGTCTTGCTGCTGCTGCAATGCTGCTGCTGCTGGCCGCGCTGCTGCTGCTGCTGCTGCTGCCGGGACAAACGTAGGCGGAAGCAGTTCAAAAGGCGACAGCAGCAAAGTATCTGCAGCGCGAGGCAGCAGAAAGTCTTTTTATTTGTTTTTATTTGTTTTTATTTGTTTTTATTTGTTTTTATTTGTTTTTATTTGTTTTTATTTGTTTTTATTTTTGTTTTTTGGTTTTTCAGATCAAGGAAAAGTCTTTAGGCTGCTAGAAGCAGGAGCAGCAGCAGATAAGGCCCTCAGAGAAGCTGACCTTCCTCCTGCTCTTTTGTCTTGTCTTGTGGACGTCAACATTCACCACGTGGGCCTAGGGTTTAGGGTTTAGGGTTTAGGGTTTGGGGTGTAGGGTTTAGGGTTTGCAGCAGGAAGGGGCCCTGATGGAAAGGGGTCAGTCACGGCTAAGGGTTTAGGGTTTAGGGTTTAGGGTTTTGGGTGCGAGCGCAGTTGGTAAAAGAGCAGGATTAGGGCTTCGTGATGGTGGCTAGAGTTGAGGGTTTAGGGTTTAGGGTTTAGGGTTTAGGGTTTAGGGTTTAGGGTCTTCAGTTGTGCTGTTTCTCAGTTAATGGAGGTCTTTCAGGAACGACAAGAGGGTACAGCGAACGCAACTGCCCCTAAGGGGCCCCCTGAGGGCCCCCCGGAGGGGCCCCCTGGGGGGCCCCGTGAGGGGCCCCCCGGAGGGCCCCCCAAGGAGGCAAAGCCCTCTGAGGGGGCCCCCGAGGGGCTTCCCAAAGAGGAGGGGCCCCTGGGGCCCCCTGGGGGGCCCCCCAATGAAGCGGGTCCCCCTAGGGGGGCCCCCGATTCGGGGGGGCCCCCTGAGGGGGCCCCCAAGGCGGCGAGGCCCCCTGAGGGGCCCCCCGGGGGGCCCCCCAGGGGCCCCCCTGAGAGCCCGCAAGAGAAGTCGGAAAGGATGCAGCAGCAGCAGCAGCAGCGGCTGCGGGCGGAAGCAGCAAAGGTCTTCGAAGCAATTAAGGCTGGGGGGGGTTTAGATGGATTTGTTGCTGCTGTGTCTCCTTACAAAGTAAAAAGACAAAAAAATGAAACTTCTTTTTCTCCAAATGAACTCCTCAACAAACTTCTCTTCAATGCCATTCTCCTCGCCCACAACTTCCTCAAACCAGGTCAGCCTCCGGCCCTTAGAGGCCCCAAGGGGGCCCCACAGGGGGCCCCATAGGGGCCCCCACAGGGGGCCCCCTGTGGGGCCCCATAGGGACCCCATAGGGGGCCCCACAGGGGGCCCCATAGGGGGCCCCATAGGGGCCCCCACAGGGGGCCCCATAGGGGGCCCCATAGGGGGCCCCATAGGGGGCCCCATAGGGGGCGTCCAAGTCCTTGGGGGCCCCACAGGGCGGCGGAAGTCAGCTCGGGTGCTGCTGCTGCTGCTTGAGCTCTCGCTGCTGCAGCTCGTGCTGCTGTTGCCGCTGCTGCTGCTGCAATTGCCCCTGCTGCTGCTGCTGCTGCTGCTGCTGCTGCTGCTGCTGCAGGCGGGCGCGTGGTGCTGTTTACGCAGGCGTTTGAGCTGGCAGCAAATGTGCATTCTGCTTTTTGTGCTTCTCGAGAATTCGTGCATGCAAATTTGGAAGAACTTTTGCTGCGGGAGATGCAGGCGAGTCTTTTTTAATTTTAATTTAATTTAATTTTATTTCTTTTTATTTCTTTTTTATTTTTTTATTTCTTCTTTTTCCCTTTTTTCCTTTTTTCTTCTTCTTTATTTCTCCTCTTTTGTTCTCTTTTCCTCTTTCTTTTTTCCAGTTTTTCTTTATATGTTCTTTTCTTTTTTCTTTTTTCTCTTTTTCTTTTTTTGTTTTCTCTTTTTGTCAGACTGTCGATTAATTTTTAAATAAGTTCATTTGTTTGCTCTAAATAATCATATTTCTTTTTATTTGTAGGTAAACAATTCTATTAGTTGTTTCTAACAAATTAATTCCATTTCTTATTTCTAGTTCGTTAAATATATTTCTTACTTCCAAGTAATTAAATCTTTTTCTCATCTCTAAATAAGTCCATTTCTAAACAATTATTTTCGTTTTTTATTTCCAAACAATTAATTCTTAGCTGCAGCAAATTCGTTTCTTTTTCCTCCGCCTGCCTGGTTCCCACGCTGCAGCAGCGCCTGCCACTGCAGCAGCAGCAGCAGCAGCTGCTGCTGCTTCTGCTGCTGCTGCCTCTGCTGGCGCTCCCTCTTGCAGCAGCAGCTGCTGCTGCTGCTGCTTCTGCTTGCTCTGCTGGCGCTCCCTCTTGCAGCAGCTGCTGCAGCAGCTGCAGCAGCAGCAACTGCCGCTGCATCTGCTTGCGTTGTCCCTTGCAGCAGCGGCTGCTGCTGCAGCTGCTGCTGCAGCAGCTGCAGCAGCAGCAGCAGCTGCTGCTGCTGCTGCTGTTTAAATTTTATTTCTTTCAAGTCTCCTTTTTGTCCCTCAGGTCATCCCCGGACGAACTCATCCCACAATGCAAAGTGTCCTTTCTGTCCCCAGCGGATTTATTGTCTCCGCCATCAAAATCAACTCTTCTCCCTAACCACAAAGTAGGACCCTCGGGGGCCCCTGGGGGCCCCCTCAGGGGCCCCTGGGGGCCCCCTTTGGGGTCCCTGGGGGGCCCCTCAGGGGCCCCTGGTGGCCCCCTTTGGGGCCCCTGGGGGGCCCTGTGGGAACCCTACGGGCTCCCGGGGGGCCCTCTAGGGCCCCTACAAGCTCCCTGGGGGGCCCTCTGGGGCCCCTACAAGGCCCCTGGGGGCCCCCTGTGGGGCCCCTGTAGGATCCCCCGTGGGGCCTTTAGGGGGCCCCTGTGGGGCCCCCCACACGGGCCCCTGTGGGGGGCCCACGGGGGCCCCAGGAAAGTCCGTGTGGGTCTTTTGTGGGGCCCCTGATGCTTTTGTAGGGGGCCCCTGTGGGGCCTCCGACTCCCTCTAAGGCCTCTTGGGTCTTCAAGATATTCTGTAGAAGACCCTCAGAGGCCCTGGCAACTCTGGGGGGCCCCTTGGGGCCCCCAGAGCTGCATGTGTCCCTCCAATGTGCCTCGCGGGGCCCCTAGGGGCCCCTAGGACTCCGAGGGGCCCCCAGGGGGCCCCCAGGGGGCCCCTGGGGGGCCCTCTGGGGGCCCCTGGGGGGCCCTCTGGGGGCCCCTGTGGGCCCCAAGGGGGCCCCCGTGAGTGCGGGGTGTGTTTGCTGCTTCCCTTGCTGCGGGGGCAGCGCAGCAGCAACTGGCTTTGCTGAAGGCGTCGGCGGCAGCAGGGTTTGCGTCCGAGGGTTTAGGGTTTAGGGTTTAGGGTTTAGGGTTTTAGAGCGGCCAGCGGGCCTTCATGTGGTCTTTAAAGAACTTTTGAATAACCCAGCGCTCGCACTGCTGAGCCACCTGGTGTACAGACACCCCAGACACACGCAGGACCAGCAGCAGCTGCTGCAGCAAAAGCACTTTGAACTTTATTTAAATAAATTGAAGCAAATTTAAATAAAACAAAATAAATGAAAAAATATGAAATGAAATAAAAGAAAACACTAAAGATGCAGAAGAAACACTAACGAACGGGCAGCAACAAACCCACGCGCATCAGCCCGAACAGCAGCAAACGAACGATACCCCATTAGCAGCAGCAGCAGCAGCAGCAGCAGCAGCAGCAGCAGCAACGGCAGAAGTAGCAGCGCAGCACTAGCCGCAGCGGCACCAGTAGCAGCAGCTACAGCAGCAGCACCAGCCACAGCAGCAACAGTGGTCGCAGCCCTGGCAGCAGCAGCAGCGCTATTACTAGTACTACTACTACACG